AAATTCCTGGAACTTGTGACCATTCTCTTAAATGGAAACAAGGATTTTGCAGGTAGGATGAAATTAAGCCTCTTGACGTGGGGGAAATTATCCTGGATTATCTAGGTGGCTCTAAATGTAATCACAAGTGTTCTTCTAAGAGGGAGATTTGATGCAGTAAAGGCGACCTGACCACGGAACCAAGATGCGCCACTGTTGACTTTGGGGTGGGGGGGAAGGGCCAGAACCAAGGAATGTGAGAGATACAGCTCTAGAAGCTGAAAAGGTAAGGAGATGGCTTCTCCCCTAGAGGCTCAGAGGGTGCACAGCCCTGCTAACATCTTGATTTCGGCCCCAGCGAAACTGACTTCCCACTTCTGACCTCCAGACTGCGAGAGAATAAATGTGTGTGGCTTTCAGTCACCAAGTTTGTCAACATTGATTACAGCAGCCATGAGAAACGAATATGTGCCATGTGCAGCATGACTCCGAACACAGAGGGGACACCTACTTGGCATTTATTTAGCACTCTCTGTATACCTAGATCCCCTACTGCGTGCTCACAATAACCTGGCCATCTGCAGGGTATCTGAAGCTCAGAAAGGGTGATTCACTTGCCCGAGGTTACAGAGTTTGGAAGTGGAAGGTCCAGATTTGAATCTGGACATTCGGGCTCTAAAGCCGGCCCTCACAAATTCGCACTTGCCTGCCCTTATGAGGCTGTAGGAACTGTTCTGAGCAATTCATGTGTATTAACTCACTGAACTCAGTTTATGGGGTGGGGACTTTTATTATGCCCATCTGACAGATGAGCAAACTGAGGCACAGAGATTAAGAAATATCTGCATAAGATCGCACAGCTAGTAAGAGGGAGAGGCAAAGAGGCGCCTGGGTGGCTCCGTTGGTTAAGCGTCCAACTTCGGCTCAGGTCATGATCTCACGGTTCGTGGGTTCGAGCCCCACATCAGACTCTGTGCTGACAGCTAGCTCAGAGTCTGGAGCCTGTTTCAGATTCTGTGTGTGTGTCTCTCTCTGACCCTCCCCTGCTCACGCTGTCTCTCTCTCTCTCTCTCAGAAATAAATAAAACATTAAAAAAATTAAAAAAAAAAAAAGAGGGAGAGGCAAAACGTGACCCCGTGATGTCCGCCCCCCTGTGAGGATGAACCCTCCTCATTTGCTAGATGGAGACCCGAGGGCCCAGCGAGTTGCAGGGATGACGCCAACATCACTCAGCAATTACCAGCCTCTCCTGCGCTGGAACCCAAGGCCAGGCTGCTTCTACTGCTGTCAACGTGCTGCGTGACCTCAGGGAAGTTAAGACGTCTCTTGGACCTCAATTTCCTGACCCAGAAAACGATGGGGTTGGTCTGGACCAAAATGTTGTGCTCACAGCGCCCCCATCGGCGTCACGGGGAAAGGCGGGTGAAATTACTCAAATTCGCAAGGCACCCACAATTCCTGAATCTGGGAGCTCTGGGAGAGGGGACACTCCTCACCACTCAACAGCCTGACTGTGGGCCATGGGCCATGCACTGCCCTAGATTCTGGTAATAGAGCAATGAACTCCCTCGCCTCTACTGTGGCCCAGCAGAAAATACACAAGTGAAATAGTAAGGATGTAGGATGAGGGTTCATCAAGACGAGTTGACATGCAGCCGTGTTCAAGAACACACCTTGTGCACGAGAATTTAAAATGAGCTATACCCAATAGCTTGCTTTTTCTTTTGGAGAGAGAGAGAGGGAGGGTGAGCGGGCGAGGAGGAGAGAGAAAGAATCTTAAGAGCGCCTCCGGTCTCCCCACTCCAGTCCACCTCCCACACGGCCCCAGAAGGCTTTCTTCATCCAAGGCTGATCTTGCCCTTCTGCAGCTCATGGCTCCCCAGCACCCTACGCCAGCGACAGCCCCCTTGATGTGCTCCCCGTACAGTCACCAGCATAACTCTCTTGAGATATTTGCCTGTGGTCCTTACATTCCAAGGGCAGCCTCTCCTTCTGCAAGTAGGTACTTACCTCCTCCGCCAAGGGGCGCTATCACCTGTCGTTCCTCCGAATCTGACATGCCCTCTCGGAGCCTCGGTCAGAATCCCAACTCCTGCTTCAAGGCACAGTTCAACCCTGCTCCCGGGGCACACACACTCACCTAGACCCTCCCCGCTCTTACACACTCAGAGGTCACCCCCAAGCACCGCCCGAATCTCCCCATACAAACGATGGTCTCTCCCAACCAACTTCATCCCCCTCACCCGCACTCACAGGAAAGTCGCCCACCCCAACCTCCCGCCTCCCCAACAGGGTGAACTCGCCCATCCAGAGGCCCCGCCTTCTTTTCTTGACAAAGATCTTCTAAGCCCCGCCCCGCCCTTCGGACTAGGGTCCCCTGAAGGCCTCCCCTCTTCCAACTGTTTGAACCCCTTGGTCTTCTCCCCCTTTCCCCCCAGCATTACTTACACCCCGGCCTCCGCGACAAAGGTCCCGCCCGTCCAAACGCCCCTTCAGTACCCAGGCCCACTCCTCCCACCCCTCTGCTGGAAAGTTGGTGTGTCCCGGAGTGGCAGCAGGGAACGGGAATCAGGCGAGACCATTATCCGAAGAGGGGGTGATACAGGAAGGGCGTCCCTGTTTAGGGACTGACGGCACCGCTGGCTCCGCTGGTGCCTTTCAGATTCGACCGGTGTCTCCCCGGACTTCGCCACCTCCCTATCGCTGCCCCCACTCCACTTAGGGCTGCGATCCTCATCCTTCGGGCCAGATACACAGTCGTTCCGGGGAATCTCCATGCACAGCGGAACTCGGGGCCGCCGCGCTCCCGACTGCCCTAAAGCGCATGCGTGGCGGATTTTGCGAAGGCTTGCCGGTATTTATCGTGAGGTTGCTCTGGTCTAACAAAGAGTGGGAGACCCTCCCCATGCAGCGTCATCGAATGTCAACCCACATCTTTAGTCTCTCAAAAAGAAAACGGGAGAGTTGATATATAATAACAACCGATTACTAGTGTTCTTGGCACGCCTTAGAATAAGGGTATCATTTTCTTTCTTTCTTTTTTTTTTAAATATTTTTATTTCTAGGAGAGAGAGAGAGAGAGAGACAGCGTGAGCAGGGGAGGGTCAGAGAGAGAGGGAGTCACAGATTGAAACAGGCTCCAGGCTCTGAGCTGGCAGTCAGCAGAGAGCCTGATGCGGGGCTCAAACCCACGAACCGCGAGATCATGACCTAAGCGAAAGTCGGACGCTTAACCGACTAAGCCACCCAGGCGCCCCAGGGCATTATTTTCAATTCTCCAACCAGCTTTGGTAGCAGAGTTAGCATTTAGTCCCATCTTCTGCACCAAGAGACTGAGGGCTTGGGGCTCCTGGGTGGCTGTTGGTTGAGCGTCGGACTTCAGCTCAGGTCATGATCAGCGCAGAGCCCCGCTTTGGATCCTCTGTACCCCTCTCTCTTGCTTTCCCCTGCTCATGCTTGCTCTCTCTCTTTCAAAAATAAACATTAAAAAAAGAAAGAAACTGAGGTTCGACGAGAAGGAGCCTCGGCAAGTGCTGTGACAGAGCTGGATGGGAGGCAATCTGGAATGATTCCCCAACCGTATTCACTGCCTACATGAGAGCCCTTGAGGGGCGCCTGGGTGGCTCAGTGGGTTAAGCATCAGACTCTTGATTTCAGCTCGGGTCACCATCTCGTAGTTTGTGGGACTGAGCCCCGTGTCATGCTCTGCACTGAAATCGTGGAACCTGCTTGGGGTTCTCTCTCCCTCTCTCTCTGCCCCTCCCTGCTCTCTGTCCTTTTCGCTCTCTCAGTGAATAAATAAACATCTTCAAAAAAACAAATGAGAGCCATTTAAGTGCAGAGGTGGAGGTTTGGGGGTGTGGTTGGGACTCTCCGCAGTATGTCCTTTGGCAAGTCACTGCAATTCTCTGACTTAATTTCTACAGCTGGAAATGGGCACAATGCCCACCTTCCAGGGTATTGTTGGGGGGAGGGGTCATGGAGGGCATCTCTTAGCTGTCACCCTCAGCGCTGGCTTCATTCCCAGGCTCTATCAAGATAATGGCAAGCGGGTCTAGCCCTGACCACCTCATTCTGGGGCTTCGTCTTAGGATAGAGAGAACCTTGAGTAGCCTCCCACCCTAAGCAGACCCCTTGGCTAGGATTCGGTCACACGGCCGTTCTTAAACCAATCACTGGCACAAAGACTGAGACTGGCCTGGGCTAGTCACGTGAGGGTAGAAGCCACAGACGATGGCCAAGTTGCCACCTTGAGATACTGGTCCGGATGAGCAAGGAATAAGCCTGAGCTGTCATGGGGATGGACTCATTTCTGGCCCCTCCATTCCATCTGGCCCCAGTTAGGTCTTGTTGCTAGAATGGACTGCTGGACCACCTCAATTTCTCTCCAGGTCTGGGCCTCCCCGCCTCCCTGAGAAGCCAGGAACTGAGTGCAGAAACCAAAATAATACTGTTTTATTCCAATCTTGTAGCACAATAGTCCAGACCGTTTCCCTTCTCCCACCGGAGAGCCTCCAGCCCATCCCACCATGCTCCCTCCCCCCATCCAGTCTCTTCTGGAAATGACCAACCAGAAGGCCAAGGGGATCCATGCCTCCAGGCTTCGGGGACTCTCAAATCGCTCCCCTCCTGCTCCTTCTCTCTCTCCCATACCTTTCCCTTCCATGTGTCTTTTTACTCTCTCTCTCTCTCTCTCTCTCTGTCCTCCGCCCTGGCCCCCTTCTCCCCTGCCTCCTTCTACTTTTCCCCATTTCTTCTCCATTTTTGCCTCCTGTCCCCTTTCTGCGCCTCCCTGTTAGCTTCTCTCTCTTCTTCCTCCCCCCCCTTCTGTTTGTCCTACATTCCCATCCCTTTCTCCGTCACCCCCTGCACTGAGCATCTGCTCCCGCCCGGGCTGTCCCCGTACCCTGGTGTGTGTGCTCCCCTCCCCCAGCTTTGTCCCCGCCTTCCTTCTGCCCCGTCTCCCCCCCACACCGTCTGGTCTCATCACACATCGTGTCTCATCACACATCGTGTCTCATCACACATCGTGTCTCATCACACATCGTGTCTCATCACACATCGTCTCTCCTGAGGGCGGCCCTCAGAAGCCGTGCCAGCCACCACCACCTTCCACACGGTGCCTTGAGGACCTCAGACACCACTGTCAGCTTCCCCTCGGACCCAGAGAGGCAAACGGCCGAGGTGAGGTCCCTGGAGGCCACAGGAAGTGGCCAGAGCGACTGAGGCGGCCTCCTTGGCCTCAGCCCTATTATCTTTGGGATCGAAGAATGCCCTCCTGCCCTGGCGGCGGAGGGCGGCAGGCGGGGGCCCGACGGGTCAGGGCTCGGGGGCTCTCCCCCAGCAATCCCTGAGCAGGTCCATGTGGAACAAGGCGGCCCCGGTGAGGAGGCGCGCGGCGAAGAGGTGGCGGCAGGGCAGGCGGCGGGCGGCGTGGATGGAGCAGCTGCAGCGGGTCAGGGCCCTGTCCAGGAAGAAGTCCGAGGTTCCATCCTTAAGGGCAAACCCAGCTCCCGTCCAGTGGAAACCCCGCGTGCCGTGCTGCCTGGCGAAGGCCAGCTCTTCGGCCACCAACTCTGCCAGCTCTGGCCCGCAGGCCGCTCGGAACTTGGCCAGGGGCTCCCAGTCCACCTCTTCCTCTGCGGAGGGGCAGCAAGACCTCTTCGGTTCCCGTGGGCCTTCTTCCTGACCCCCTTCCTGCAGGCGCTCGCCAGCGGCCGGGCGCACCCCGCGCGTCCCTGCCCAATCTGGGTCACCTTCGCACACAGTGCCCGCGGCGATGCTCCACACCACCCCATTCCCCAGCCCTAGACACCTCCCTCCTGCGCCCCCACACCCCGTCCCTTGTTCCCCGCTGCCCTTGGGGCCCACAGACCGGGCTCCCTCTCCGTTCTCCAGGCCTGTCACCCTTGTGTCCCCCAGCTGCACCAGAACGACGTCTTCCAGGTCCCTTGGTCTTTTGACCCCCAACCTCACTTCCGTCTCTTCTCCGATCTTGGGCCCTCGCTGCCTCTCCTCTCCCCACTGGGGCTCCCCTGGGGCTCCATTCTCAGGGACCATCTCCCCGGGCTTCTCCAGATGCCGCCCCTTCCGGTTCCTGGCCTCCTGACCCCTTCCCTTCTCGGCTTCCAGCGGAGGTCCCTTCCAGTCTCTGGCTTTCGGTGCCCGTGCCCTCTCTTCGTGCAGCTGGGCCCCCCGCCAGGTGCTCCCTTCAAGACTCCTGGCCCTCTCAGAATCAAACGGGGGCGCCCTCCGCTCTGTGGTCTCCAGCACCCTGATGCCGCCGTCCTCCAGCTGCGCCATCCGCCAGCTGTACCCTTCAGCTGCGCCCGGCTCACGGTCCTCCAACCAGGCCCCTCTCAGTACGTAACCTTCTGGTCCCCAGTCTTTCTCACCCTCCAAAGGGGCCCCCCTCCAGTCTCTGATCTCTGGCCCTCTACAGTGCTCGTTCTCCAACTGGGACCCTCTCCAGTCTTGAATCTGCAGTCCTCGCCCCAAGTCACTGTCTAACGGAGCGCCTCCCCGGTCTCTGGCCTCCAATCCTCGGGCCCACTCCTTCTCCAACTGGGCGCCTCTCCAGATACTCCCTTCTTTCCGGCTCCCGGCCCAGTCCCCGCTCTCCAGGCCCTTCATCCTTTCCCTCTCCCCGTGGGCTCCCCTCCCCGGCTCGCCCTCCGGCCAAGGCCCCCCGCCGTCGGAACCGTCGGGCGCCGCCTCCCCGGCCGCATCGGCCCACTGCATGGCTACCAGGTCGCGGAGGCACTGCGCCACGCTACGCGAGGGGCTCAGGCGGCGCAGCAGGCGCCGGCGGTGGCCGCGCACCAGGGCGCACGCGTCCAGGTCCCGGGCCGCCTCGAAGGCTCGGAAGCGCACCCACATGTCGCGGCGCGGGGCCCAGTTGCGCTCGAAGTAGTCGACGAAGGCGGCCGGGCCGTGGGCGCGCAGCTCAGCCAGCGCCTCGGCGTAGGCGGCGGGCGACGGGGCGCCGGCCAGGCGGCACAGGCGCGGCCACAGGCCCGGGTCCTCGCGGCCCGCGCCGCCCAGCTCCTGCGCCTTGCTGAAGAGGGTCTCCAGGCCCTGCGCGCGGCAGATCTGCACGCGCGCGCCCGGCAGCAGCTGGCGCACGGCCGGCAGCTGCGCCGCCACCTCGGGCCCGGCCGTCAGGCAGCGCACGCGGCCCTTGACGTCGGGCGCGCTCTGCAGCAGCGAGGCCAGCGCGAAGCGCAGCAGGCTCGGCGTGCCCGGGCGCGCCACGCAGCAGGCGGCCTGGCGCGCGCGCCCCGCGCCGTCCACGCACAGCACGGCCAGCAGGTCCAGCGCGCCCTGTAGCCCCGGCAGCCGGTCCACCAGGAGCATCCGCGGGAAGCGCCGCAGCAGCGCCCGGGTGCGCGACGTCAGGAAGAACACGGTCTCCACCACCGCCTGGTCCTCCACGAACACCAGCTTCACCTGCGGGCGGGGCGGGAAGGTCGGAGAAGAGGTCAGGGGACGCCGGGGTCGCCCGGCGGCTCCCAGACCTCGGGGAAATGGGCGTTCGTCCGATCCCGCGTGCGGGCATTTATCCTTCTGGCCGGCAGGAGGCAGTGCGGGGGAATGGCTCGAAAACGCGACCTCTGGAGGCCGACCGCCCGGGCTTAAGATCCGGCGCCGCCATCTAATAGCTGTGTGATTTCTGCACACTGGACAGCCTCTCTGAGCCTCAGTGTACCTACTGGGGACTGGGTGTGCATTCCTTCATGCGCTGAGAGGCAGGCTAGCACAAAGGTTCTCAAAGCATAGGATTTGGAGCAGCAGCGGCGCCTGCTGGGACCCTGAGAGAAATGCATATTCTTAGCCCGCCACCCCTCCCCACCCCCCCGTGCTGAGTCAGAAACTCTGAGGGCCCCGCAATCCGTGCTTGACAAGCCCTCCAAGGGATCCCCGCGCGCGCCACCCCCCCCCCCCCCCCCGGGTTGAGAGCCACCAGTCTATCCAGTAATAAAGCCTCAAGCAAGCACGACTGCCTAGATTTGAGTCCCCGCCCCACCACTTCCTAACCTCGTGGCTTAACCTCTTCGAGCCTCAGTTTCCTCCTTAACCTCGTTGTTCCCCCAGTGTCCCCTTCTGGGAACTGAAAATTCATCCCTTCGTGCTCGGAGATTCAGGTCCAGCATCGGGTCTAGAGCCCCCTGGCTGTGTGTGGCTTCTGGCAACTTCCCTGACCAACGTCTCCTTTGTAGAAGCAGACAGATACTCTGTGACCGGAAGGATGCCACGAACCAAAGCGTTTAGAACGCCGCCTGGCACAGATGATATTCGCATTGGGCAGCACGCGATCAAGAAACAGGAAGTGCTTGCAGGGGCGCCTGGGTGGCTTAGTCGGTTAAGCGTCCGACTTTCGCTTAGGTCATGATCTCGCGGTTCATGGGTTCGAGCCCCGTGTCGGGCTCTGTGCTGCCAGCCAGCTCAGAGCCTGGAGCCTGTTTCAGTCTGTGACTCCCTCTCTCTCTGACCCTCCCCTGCTCACGCTCTCTCTCTCTCTCTCCTAGAAATAAATAAAACATTAAAAAAAAAAAAAGAATAGTGAGCAAGTTTAAAAAAAAGAAACAGGAAGTGCTCTCAAAGTGTTCACAGTTACTACAGTGATCGCCCCTGCTCAACCACCGGGTCCTCATAAAGGTCCATCCCTTCTCGGCCAATCCCCCAGCTCTCTTTAGCCACCGTTGGCCACGGCGCTTAAACGCCCAAAGCACATCACATCTCTCCTCGCGCGTTTGCTTGTGGCCTGTTCGCCCTTCCGAACACGTAAGCCCCACAAGGTGAGGGATGTTGTGTTCTGGATTCCTGATAGTTTGAATGGCATCCACCGCGACCGCTCGCTCCCTCCCGAGGGGACGAATGTCTAAGCGCGTAGCCAAATCCACTAGCCGCATCTCGGAGGTCAGGGAAGAGTCTGGTTTTGAATCCCGGCTTTGTCTCTCACTAGCTGTGGGACCCTGGGCCGAGGCTCACCTTCCTTGGCTGCCAAGCTGGGCCAGTGTCTACAGAATGGATGGTGGAGAGGCCAAAATGAGATCATTTGTGTCCAAAGCTTGACGCGGGTCGAGTCCCGCAATTACTTCTGTGTTACTTGACTCGCAGCGGCTCTCAGAGGACGGGGACCCTGCCCCCTCTCTGGAACACGAATCGCTCTTGGCTTCTGTCACCCCAAAACCTCCTGGCTGTCTTCCTTCGTCGCAGGCATCTCCTGGTCTGTGTCCTTTGCTCTGCTTGCCTCATCCCTCTCTCACTCCCCCCTCCCCTCCCCACTTCTAAATGTTGCTGAGCCGCTGTCCAGTCCTCTCCTCTCCTCTGTCCTGTCTGGGCTCTGACAAGGTGATCTCGTCTGCTCACAGGGGCTGTATCATCTCTCAGCTGATAACTCCCAGTGCTGTATCTCCAGGCTCCAGGTCCATCTCCTGAATCGCCTCTGCGGGAACATGGCCCCTTGGGCATCTCTGGTGCCCTCCGGAGATGGGCAGCCCAAAGCCATCCTTGATTCTCACTGACTCCCCTCCCCCCGACCTGCCCCGTCTCTGTTTCACTTTCAAAACTTCCCATCAGATCACCCCCTCCCCTGCTTGAAAGCTTTCCCTTTCCCAGGACTCCCCAATCCCGCTATAAGTCACCCCCGCCCCCCGCCCTGAGTTCACACCATGTAGGCTGGGTGATCAGACCCTTGGATCTCAGCTTCTGGTCCCTCTCGTCCTCCTCGGCCTCACCCACTCTGGCATCATCATTGCACAAAAGCCACTGACTGGGGCAGAGAGGTGATGGTCAGTCTCTGTCTGTAGGTCCTTGTTGGCGCCAACCCACAGCGGCAGAGCCAGGATCTGGATAATCTAAGCACAGATCTCTCCACAAACCATTCTGCCATCATCCAACCTCAGCCTACAAGATGGTTAAAAAGCACTGCATTGTTCTCAGCTTTCGAGGGGAAAGAAAAAAACAGTCTCTAATTGGGAAAAAAAAAAAAAAAAAAGATCTGGTAGAGTCCCCAAAAGAACAAAATGCTCTGCTTTCCCAGCCCTAGTAACCTTACAGCTGGATTAGTTACTATCCCACTGCGATTTTTCTCAAACTATTGGGAATTTTTACACTGTCCCTTGACACTGATCTCAGCAAATGTTTCAATCTGGAACTTCTCTCTGTCCAACCTAGTAGCCATAACCACCTGTGGCTATTTACATTGAAATGCATTAATGTTTGACAGCCTATAAAAACTCAGTTCATCAGGGACGCTCGGGTGGCTCAGTCGGTTAAGCGTCTGTCTTCGGCTCAGGTCATGATCTCACGGTTTGTGGGTTCGAGTCCTGCGTCGGGCTCTGTGCTGACAGCTAGCTCAGAGCTTGGAGCCTGCTTCAGATTCTCTATCTCCCCCTCTCTCTGCCTCTCCCGTGCTCATGCTCTCTCTCTCTCTCATACACACAAATAAATAAAAAACATTAAAAACAAAAAACCCTCAGTTCATCAGTCACACTAGACATATTTCAAGTGCTGACTAGCCACACGAGGCTTGGAGCCGCTCTCCTAAATGCCACAGGACATTTGCACCACCACAGAAAGTTGTGTCAGGGACACCCGGGTGACTCGGTCAGTTAAGCATCCAACTCTTGATTTTGGCTCAGGTCATGATCTCACAGGTTCATGAGTTGAAGCCCCGTGTCGGGCTGTGCATTGACAGCCCAGAGCCCACTTGGGATTCTCTCTCTCCCTCTCTCTCTGCCCCTTCCCTGCACTCACTCACACTTTCTCAAAATAAATAAAATAAACTTAAAAAAGAAACGGAAAGAAACTTCTGTCAAGACAGCACTAGTGTAGAAACTAACACAAAGACAAAAGCTGTCCTCAGTGTAACGGGTAAAAAACGGTGACGTGTTTCTAGAGCTTCGAGTTCTTGTCTATTTCTCCTTGGGAGTCAGGAGTAACAGAAAAGTAAATAAAGCAAAATGTATTGGACTTTCCCAGAGCAGGCAGGCACTTGACAAGTTTGAACTTGACTCCCATTCTTTAAGGACTAACTTAGATGTCTCTTCTCAGGTTTTCTTTCTAAAGGGGGTACGGAGGCTTTTCCTGCACACCCGTTTGTTCATCAAATGGCATTGACTGAGAGTCTATTGCGGGGCCTGGCACTGTGCCTGACCTTGAGGAGAGAGAAGGGAGGGAGCAGGCCTGGGTCCGGCCCCATAGGACTGGCTGATGTCCCGAGAGCCATAACACATCCGTTGGTACTTTCGGCTGAAAATAAACCCAGGGCGGCTAAGCTTTCTGGATCCTGGAGCCAGGCTGGGGTGCTTCCTCTCACCAGCTTTGTGAGCTTACACGCTGCTGTGTGGCTTAGGCAAAGTGTCTGAACGTCTCTGTGCCTCCGCCGCTCACACCTGCCTAATCACATGGGCTCGTTTGCACAAAGCATGGAGAGCAGCGGCTGGCCCCCGATCAGTGTGTCCTCAGTGTCATCCGTTTCTGTTGTTCCGTGCGCACGGACCGCGTGCTAAAGAGGCAGGGTGACGGGACTGAGGTTGGTGCGGGGACTTCTGAGCAAGCGAGGGCCATTGCTGAGGGGGGACCATCATTTTCCTTCTGTTGAAGATACGGAAACCGAGGCAGTCAAGGATTGACTCAACCCGTTGGGGAGGCATATTCCAAGGGTCGGGCTGTTGCCCAGCTGCTGGGAGATAGGGACGTCCTGCCGGGTAAGGGTGTCTGGGCGCCTTGGGCCACTTCTAGATCATCTTTGTGAAGAAGGGAATGATTTATGGTGGGGGCCTTGAGCCGCACGGTCCCAGCCTGACCTCCAGAGGGGCCGGAGACCAAGGCCGGCCTCTCGCGCAGTCGGTCAGGCGTCTATGCAGCCAAACCCCAGCAAAATCCCTGGACACGGAGGCTCGGGTGGGCCTCCTTGGTTGGCCGTACTCCACGCCTATAACACACTGTAGCCGCCAGAGCTGGAAACTCACGCCTGGTCTCTTCCCGCCTCCACCCTACCCGCCTTTTCCCTTTGCTGATTTCAATGTGTCCTTTTCACTGTAATAAGCCGTAGCCGGGAGTGTAGTGGCTTTGCCGAGCTCTGGGAGTCCTCGTTGAAACGGAGGGTGGCCTGGGGGTCCCCAGCTACACTGGAGGAGTGACTCGCCCAGGGCCATGGAGCTAACAGGTAGCGGGGCTGGGGATCCGAGTTCAGATCCCTGAGAATGGCTGGGGGGAGAAAAGCAAGGAGCAGAGGGAGACGGGTGGGGGGCGCTGCAGGGGGGGGGTGGCATTTGCCGAAGGTGGGGGATACCTCAGAGAGTGAGCCTCCCCACCAGATGTTTACAGGACAAATCTGACGTGCCAAGTGCCAGTTCAGGCGCTGAGGGGGACATCTCAGGAGTAGGAAGAGGTGAGGGACGCCTGAGGGGCTCCGTCAGCCGAGTGACCGACTTTTGACT